TTATAATTTGTACCAAACGTAGCAAAAAAGCCCTTTTTTTGCAAGTGAACATGATTCAGGCAGCAATTATTTTTCCAATCAAAATGTAACTGGCAAAAACAAATTAGTAGCCTGTATAAACATAATTCATAGCAGACAGGGTCGTGCTGTCCAATTTAGTTTTATACTTTATATAAAAATGAGATCACTTTCAATCCCTGTTCTGTGAACTAGTTTCTTCTTACTTTTAATGCAAAGAGTTTGCCTAGAGAATGCTCCCTTATCTGTGTTATAGAAATTATTTAACATGAAAATGACACTTCATTTTCTCAAACTTTTCTGAATAATTATCCTTATAACTTTTTGATCTACTCGTATAATAACTTTCACAAGCTTTATATCTTAACTGCCTCACCAGCAGCTAGTTTGAAAGCACAAGGCCTTGTAGAATAGCACTGTTTTGCCCTGCAGACATGTCTGTTTGCATACCACATATCCTTGGCTCTATTTTGGGCCTGAGACGATGTGTAGGGGGTGTACTGCTACGGGGAGTGACTGAAGAAATGTGGATAGGTGACAGATTTCTTACTGCACCGAGAGTAGCCTGTGTCATGTCTAAATCCTCTCACTTGTGTTAATGCATATACTGAATCATGTACACCTGCCCCACTTGAAAACTAATGATACACAAACATATTGCGACTTCCTCCTTGTCATAGGCATTGAAATGTTTATAATGCTTAATCACGTATGATTAAATATACACATCTACAGGCTTATGAAGAAATACATCGGGCTTTCGAGGTATTAGCATTTAATCCGTGCCATTTACTCTTCTTTTATCATGTGCGGCAGCATGTGCTTTTTCTCTGCAGCCTCAATGGACCCTTAAGAAACACAGTATATAGATAAAGCAAATAGTAGAGGAGGGAGAAGAGCAGAGAGAAAAAAATAGAGCAATCAGATTATGATTCCTGTCACAGTGTCCTAGCACTGTCTCAGGCCTCTGATTTAGAGTTAGCTAAATGTCAGCCTATGGAGATGAGACATAGAGGAGCAAGGCAGTGCTGTTTTTTGTCCACTTTAAACCTTGTCATTGATGTCTTGACTCTTTATGTGGCTGCCATCAGCAAACCGTGTGTCAGACTGAAAAAGAGATATTGTGTTCAAAGTGTGTTTAAGAGAAAGAGAGGAACAAGTAACAGTGATAATTTTGTGTTATAATTAATATATGAATTTTTTGTATCCTCCATAATTATATTACAGTTATTCCTTGTAAAGTATAAGTATTATATATGAATAAAGGCAAATCAGATTGATTGTGGATTATTGCAACATTTGTGCGCCATCTAGTGTTAAAACTATGTGTAGAAAGTGTGCATAAGCCCCCCTCTTCTCAAAAGGGTGTTTTGTAACTTTATTAACTGTATGTTATTTCACTTTACATTTGTGTTTTACCATTTATCTGCTGAATCTGAAGCACCTTAAATCTGATTAGCTATGAGCATGATTTTGTGACACTCTCAGCCTCGAGTGTAGGTGACAAAATACTTTCTAAACATTTTGTTATCAGCAATTAACCTTGAAATAAACTAATTATATTTGCATATTCATAGTGTAATGTGTTGTGTTTTAGATATTAAAGGAGCTATATGTAAGAATTTTAGTTCAAAACCTTAAAAAAATAGTTTTAACGTTTTGTCAAAGATGTATTGTGTTGCAGAGATATCTGCTGAAGTTATCATACCAAGCGGCTAGCTTTGGCCTGTCTTGTCTCATAATATCACTTTGGAGGAGGCGACAGTGAGTCACTTTAGCTTCTAGTCTGGGCCGAGTTGGTTTTCTTGCCGGGTCTGGCCCCTTGCACCCCTATGGCTGGCCCTGCTGTAACTCCTCTTCAAGCCTCTGGAGGTTGGGCGCTGACTGATGCCTGACATCCCTCTTGCTCCAGTCCTAAAAATAATTTCCGATAATTTGTGTAATAAACACAATGCTAGTTGTCTTCTGGCGAATTAATGATACAATGATTGCCATGTGAGTGAGAAGATAATTGCAACAGTGAATAATCTTTCTGTTGCTTTGTTGTCTCAGGCTAAATAGTAACATTTTGTCAGCCGAATCAGATTGGGTTTGATACAAAGATTCAACTATTTGTTTCTGTTTTCCAGTTTAGCACCAACCTGTATCAGTAGTTTCTGTGGAGGAACAAATAAAATCCCAGCGCACCACAGCACGTCTCTCCTGCCAGGCTGCTGAAAGCACTGTCAGCTGAAGAGTGAGTCACAGTTGACGGCAGTAGAAGAGATTGTACCACCTTTTGGTTCAAAAGTGTTTTATCAGACTTCATTGACAGTCATCACTGGAGTGAAGAGTTTCAGACCAGCTACTAACCCGCTGTCCGGCGTCATGCTGCCCTCTGTTAACTATCACTCATCTCCACCTCCATCACAGTTTTGTGGTTTGTGGTTGTTTTCAGACTTGGTTTGTGAAGTTTACAGCCTGCTATGCTGTTTCTCTCTGTACACTGACAAACACTGACACAGCTAAATTAACTTTTCAAGGGCAGCCAAATATTCTCTGTATAAAATTATTTTTGCACATAGACAGACACATTCATGTATACGTGTGCTTTTATATAGCACTCTCTCACCCCCAACTGCCAAAAAATAAGGCTTCCCAAAAGCCATTTTGTAATTCGAACACTGGCAGCAGCGGTACCCTCGCTTACTCACAGATTTTCACAGCAGTTTTTGTTCTTTAATTAACAAACATACACAGTACCTCTTCCTTATCTAACCTGTGTAAATTATAAGTTCATTCAAAAACTGATGTTCTACTTCAGTAACTAGAAGGAGCTGTTGATTTTTAACATCCCCCTTACACACCTCTGAGATTAGTTGACAATTACCTGGAGAAGCCATCTTGTGTTGCTATATCTCCACAAGAGGAAGTGGATGTTAATGAATGCTTTTTGGGTAAACACATTTCTTAAGATTTAGTACCTGACCAGCATCTCCACCTTGCAGGGCATGTTGGCAAATCAGTTACACAGCTTAGCTTCATAGGTTCTGTGGTCCTGGTATCCACTGTGTAGAGAGATACAATCACAGAGACAGGCAAGCATATTTTATAAATCAGACAGCAAACAGATGTATCATGCGTGTGTATTTAGAAACAAAAGAACTGAACTGAAAGAAGTAGCTTATTGGGTCAGATAAGAACCACTGGAATAACTGATATTGCTGAGAGCATAAAACAACAACATATACAAAATATGTAATTAAATAAATCAAACAATAATACATAAAACGCCCAGTTTCTTTTATGGACTTCTTGTGATGATTGATGTCTTTAGTTTTCCGATCTTGCCGGAAGCCCATATATGGCAACAGCCAGTAGAGGTTTGCTTCTCCCATATAATCATTAAAGGGATCCAGTTTTAAGTCCTTACTTTTTTTCATACCACTGATGGTCAAGTAATACAACATATTACTCACTATTATTCACTATAGAATACACATTTTTAAAAGAAACGTTTGGAAACAAAATCTGAAATATCTGAATCATGCAGTAGACTTGAGCATCTGTCTGTTTCTTGGCCGGTTGACATCCATTTTCAAACGGGGTCAAGCTAAACATTATAGTCATATTGCACGTAAAGTTAACAGCTATTCAAGCGTGCTAACATTTTCTAATTAGAGGTAAACACAAAGTGCAGCTGAGGCGGATAGAAATGTCATAAGCTTTACAGGTATTTGGTCATAGACTTACTGAAATTGAAATTTTGATGTGAAGGTGGCCCTTTATGAAAGGTCAGAGGATCACCAAATATATAACAATCCATCCTATTGGTGGCATGAATGTCCAAATGACCATATTTTGTGGTAATCCATCCAACAGTTGCTGAGACACAAACCAAAATGTCAACCTCATGGTAGTGCTAAAGGAAAAGTTAGATCACCAAAGGCAGTTTGGTAACCATGAATGTCTGTACAAAATGTATCATTCCAATCCATCTGGTAGATGTTGAAATATTTCACAGGGTACGTGAAAAGTTTCATCTGATAGGGGCTCCTAGTAGGATTCCTTTTTTGGGAAGAATGAATGTCTGTACAAGAATTCATGGCAATCCATCCATGATAGAGATTTCAGTCTGGACCAAAGAAGTTGCCTGAGTGACAGACCAGCATTGCCATCCCCAAAGCCACATTGCTACAGTGGGTAAAAAGAAAGAATAAAGAATTAGACACATTGTTGGCACATGTAATGTTCTGGACACTAGATATTTTTTAGCAGTGATATACTCTATAAAATTCTTTAATAAGAAGTAAAACATTAGATTTATTGCTGATGAAAAACATCACATATTGCAAGATATATAATAAAGTAAAATACACCGCTGGAATAAGACTGCATGAGAAGAAAGATATTCTATTTATGTCACAATTGACACCTAACTTGTCATATAGTACAATTCTAAATAGAATATATATATATATATATATATAATTTATATATTTGTATCTAAATTTTAATGACATTTTATAGCAGATTATGCCATCTTTTGTGCTGCAGGGTTTTCCAGCTATGAAAGAAAAGACAACCTGTCCTTGAGAAGCCTGAGTCACTGCATCCTCATTGATACATTTTCCACTGATAGGGCTGTAAGTGTCATGACACATAAATGCACACTTGGTAGCATTTCAACACCGTCTCTTTTTCATTGCTAATCATTGACACAATTCAAATGGTCATATTATTGTTGGAAGAATCTCCACTTCACCCATTAACTCAAGTGGACATCCTTTTCAGTTAAGCAATCCAAGGAGGAGGGAGGTAAAAGCTTTAAAAGAGATCAAGAAACTCGCTATACTACAACAAGCATCCACGGAAATTCAGAGAGCTGCTTTCACATATTGACATTGCAGTACTTTATATTACATATTATATTTATATACAGTATAAATCCTTGACAGTCTGTTTCACTGAGGTACAGTGCATCCATATTTATCGTGGCCAAGATGTTTGTGGATGAGCGGATTGTAACACTGTTCAAAAGGAATGCCCATCACACACTGACCTACTGGAGTGTTTTCTTCAGCTTTGGACTCTGCATTGCTTTCCTTGGACCTACAATTTTGGACTTGCAATGTCAAACAAACTCAACACTTAGTCAGATTACCTGGGTATTCTTTTCTCAGCAGTTTTGCTTGTTGATTGGCAGCTCAGTTGGTGGTGTTTTCAAGAGGACGTAAGTATCGTGAATTTACATCAGTGTTAATCCCATTCTGCTGTGCGGGTGTTTAGTATAAATAATGTCACTGTAACAGTTTTGTCTCTTTTCTTTTTTTTAAAGGTTGTTCAGTGCTCTAGCTGCCTTATTTGTGTCTGCACTTGTCATTTCTATAATATTTGCCATCATCCCACTGTGCAATAATGTTCTCCTGCTTGCCATTGCCATGGCTGTGTCTGGATTGGCGATGGGCGTTATTGACACCATCGCAAACATCCAACTGGTGACCATCTATCAGAAAGACTCAGCTGTTTTCTTACAGGTAAAAAAAAGTATTTAGTATCTGTATTTTATCTGTAGAAATACTAATATGATAGGATTTACATTTCAGATATTATATCAGGAGTGTTTAATTTGTATTTTTCCACAAATATGGCAATTTAATAAGAACTTTCAATACAGTGTGTCCAATGGTTTTGTCAAGTTATGAGCCGATTACATTATCAAAAAACACAGAAAGTCATGTGTCTGGCCTTTGTCTTGTACATTTTTGCAGGCTCTTCATTTCTTCATTGGGTTTGGAGCCCTGGTGAGCCCACTGATTGCAGATCCTTTCCTCTCAGAGACGGGCTGTGGGAATCATACAGGGAATGGCACTGAGATCATGCATCATTTCAGGAACATGCTGAGAAACAGTCCAATTGCAGAGCACAACATAACTCAGAGTGACCTGCCCCACGAGGGAGGGGAAGAGGAGTCCAATGTGCACTATGCCTTCTGGATCATGGCGCTTATAAATGTAAGACATTGACAGATTTATAGTAGTAAATGTGTTGGGGGACACTTTTTCATAGCATCTTAGTCTTATATTTCAGTAAATGGTTGAAAATGACAGAAGTGAAAAAGCTGAACGTTTTTTATGCGCCCTCAGCTGCCCGTGCCCATTGCAGTCCTGTACCTGATGTATCGGGAGCAGCTGATCCCATGTTGCCCAAGTGGCACTCCTCGTCTTCTGGACAAAGATGAACTAGCAATGGAGAACCAGCAGGGGGCCGAGGGCACAGACGTGGAGCAGAAGGAACATGAAGCTGGAGGTAAGGACGTGGAAAAAGTGATTTTCAAATAGGACTCCTATTTTAAAATGAATTATGCATTTCCTCAGTCCATGGTACTTTAGTTTGGATGAAAAAAAATCACAATAAATGCCATTTTGTGTGCTACAATCTGTTATTTGTGACATTTTGCTCTGTTACAGGTCATGGGGATATCTTTAGCTGCTGTCAGAATGATAACCTGCGCGGTCTGCCATTATCCTTCTTTATGATTCATATCCTCGGTGGGATGGTGCTCTTCATGACCGATGGTATTGTGGTGAGTGAGGGGTGCAGATAAATAATATGATGTGCATTTCAGGTACTATGTTCCTCATGAAAATGTATGAATGCATACAAATCCTGCTTCACATAAAGCACAGAAAATAGAGCACATGACAGAATCTGCCTTTTCCTTTCAGGGTGCGTATGCTGGCTTTGTGTACACCTACGGCGTGGCACCTCCTATGTCATTGCCTCATAAAACAGCAGGTTACCTGGCCAGTATTTTTTGGGCAGCAATCACTGCTGGACGTCTCTTGTCCATTCCTCTCTCATACCGTTTCCAGCCTGTGAGACTGCTCATGTTCAACATAGTAAGGCCAATAAAAGATTTATAGCGTCATCACATTATAGATGAGACATATTCAATGAAATTCAAACACTGCTATCAACACTAATTAACAATGCTCTCTTTTCTTTGTTTTTACAGGCAGGTGCTATTGTTACTGTGTTGATGCTGCTTATTTTTTACACCAGCAGCATCTTTCTGTTTGTCGGGACTTGTTTATGTGGGCTTTTCCTCAGCAGCATATTTCCCTGTATGCTTGCCTATACTGAAGACATCCTTGATTATCAGGGTATAATGAAGTGTTTATAGCACAATAATGATAACATTAATGGAATCAAAGCGAGGAGAGGAAATAAACCATACATTTCTTTGTGCAGGATGCGCGACATCAGTCCTGGTGACAAGTGCAGGGATGGGGGAGATGGTAATGCAGGTTGTGGTTGGCTCAGTAAGTCTGATGAGTATCTTCATTATTATAGATACAGATATAGAGAAATGGGCTTATAATTGCGAAAAAACAAGCCCAGTGGAAATTTAGATTCATGTTCAGTTGTTTAATGTTGCTGTCTCATCCCCAGATTATCCAGACTGAAGGCAGCTACAGCTTCCTGCTGTGTGGAATGATAATTGCATGCATCGGTTTTATTGTCTTTATTGGGCTCCTGCTGTTCCATCGAATGCACAGAAATTACCTCACAGGTACAGCATCAACCAGCACCCTCACACACTGCTGCTGAATGGTTGTTTTCACTAATTTCATACTCATCATCATCCTCCCGCTCTAACTCACTCTGCATCTCAACAGGAACAACGAAAAAGTCCGCCATGGTGGAGGAACCAGCTACAGAGCAGAATGGAGCTGCCGCAACAGAACAGAAAGAGGAGAACAAGAGCAGCTGAGAGGGACAGCAGCTGTGTTTTGTCCTTGACTGGCCACTGTAGGAGATGAAGTCTTACAACGATTTATCATCAGAGACTACAGATGTTTTACCTACCAAATGAACATTGTGAATATACTTTTATTGTGCTGAATTACACGGAATTTGCAAAGTAAATAGTGTGCTACTGTTAGAGGTTATAGTTCACACTGTTGTTTTTCTGTTTTGTAAATCACAGAGAGTGGTCATCAAATTGTGGATCGGTGTTATGTTTTATGTTTCATCAGCATTTGAAATATAATACAAGGATTATGCTTAGTAATAATTACATGCAGAATACTTTAAATACAGGTTTAATTGTAATCTTTTATGTGTTTTATGTGTTTTTGCATATCTTTTGGCATATGTACATGAATATATACATATTGTATACTATGTGTATTAAAACAGTTGTGCTTTAGGTGAACATAGTGTAGTTTTGATTGATACAGAGAAAATTCTGACACCTCATTTTAAAATTGACAACAAAGAAAAGAATGTAAATACATAACACACCTGCAACAATTCAATGTTTATTTTCTTTGCTTTTAATTAACTACTCAAGAGGAAAGCCTCGGGTTTTTACATTGTTAAACATCCAATGCAGAAGGATGGACTTTGTACTCAGAGAAGTTGGCCTCCTGAGAACTAAGAACAAATGTAAAACAGAGTTATCCAGCCTTTGAACAGTTAACCAGTCAATCTATAACTTCAACTTTAAGACCAGTTGCAACAAGAACAGGAGCTGTCAAAGACCAAACCAGCAGCACAGTGCTCAAAGTAGGTCTGGCCCCTGCTGCAGTTGTAAAATTGGTTCTTGTTTGTTGGGTTAGGGTACATGCCGTTGGCCTTTCCAGCACAGAATCCGCTGTTCATGCCACTGGTGCCTGAGTCGCCACCAGAGGAGCTGCCGCCACTGGAGCCTCCGCTAGAGCCTCCACTGGAGCTTCCTCCGGAGCTTCCTCCGCTTGTTGTACTCATTCCTGCAATTGGTGGAAGGGGAGTGGCAGGTGGGGCACAGGCTGAAAAATACCACAAATTAATTATTTAATCAAATCATTTTTCTGGGAACTCTATGTTGATGTCACAGTGATCATCAAGGTATTAAAAGTCTTACATGCTTGTTCCAGATTAAGGCCCTTTTTGAGAACATTAATGAGTGGGTATTTTCCCTGGTTACAGAAAGTGCCCAGGTAGTCATCCATGTCAAGGGTCCACACCATGGCGCCTCCAAAGTTACTCTTTGTCAGCCAGTCAACCTACAGACAGCCAGGAGAGGGCGTTGTGTGCAGCATTTTGAGGTCAGAAACATTGCAAATAAAATATTGCAAGGTCAGAAGACCTTGACACAGTGTTTGCTGATAACTGCAGCATGACACCACATACATTAAAACAGTATCAAATAAAATTCAGTCACCTTCTGTTGTAGCACAGAGGGAACATTTTCATATTTTATAATACTTAATATGAGTCTTGACAGGTTATGGAGATTTGGAAACATGTTTAGCCAAAAGTAACTCACATCAACCAACAGACTGGCCTGTCAAATGGTAAATGGTAAACTCTGAGCAGTCTTGTTACCTTGAGCTGGAAGCTCTTGGGGTTGTCATAGCCCACCCACTGGTTTCCCTTGTAAGCATATGGCACATCCTGGGCCTGGTTCCAAACCTCAGTTGCTCCATCTTTCAAAAAGCCACAGATCTGTAGTTTCACAAGGCAATGCATGAATTAATTAATTCACTTCTTCATCTGGAGTCTGTAATATAAACCAGCCTGTTCAGTTATCAATCATACAGAAGAATATTAACTAACACTGAGCCACCATCAACATTCAAGCTTATTCTTTAATACTCTAGTACAATAATAAGACAGTGTACCTCAAAGTAAGCAAGTTCTCCAGCCTCTTGTGTGTACTTTCCTGGAGTTCCAGCACCAGCAATAGGTGCTCCAACACCATGGTTTGCAGGATTCCTAAGAGTGAATGTGTTGCCATATGTAGGGAAACCAACAATCAGCTTCTCAGCTGGGGCTCCCTGGCTCTTCCAGTAGTTCATGGCATAGTCCTGGAAAAAGGGACGTTTATAAAAAAAATAAATAAATAAAGGAAAATATACATACAAGCCTACAGATGTAAACCTACAGAGGATATGCAAGTATATTCTTTACACAGGCCTAATTATTGTAAATAAGACCTCTGTTTGTTCATGATGATGTTCAAGTACTGACCACATTGAAATAGATGAAACCACCCTGGTCCTCTGGGCCTCTGAACAGGGGACTGCACTCGCCAGTCATGGGATCCCAAGAGCCATGGAAGTCATATGTCATGACATTGATCATATCCAGGGCCCTGGGTGTGGAAAACAAGAAGGGACCAACATTAACAAGCATGTTTACATTAATATAGTATATATAGTATTAGTAAGGGTGTGAGATTCAGAGTTGTTCCATTCAGCTGTGACCCATTATGATGTTGTGGATGAAGAATGGACACTCCACAAATATTGTTTCAAATGCTTACTGGCCGAGCTTGGGAATTTGATAAGCAGACTCAATGGTGTCCTTTCCAGCCGACACAGCAGCAGACATCAGAAGACGAGCCTTGTTGCTCTGCTTGGCCTCATTCTCAAAGGCAGCCCTCATCTCCTGTTGAATGTCAACAGATATAAGAAATTTTCGTATAATTGAACTCAAGGATTCATAATGCAGTTTGTGAGTTGCTTTGCTTTTATGTATCTTTTATTCTGCAAGACACAGTAGAAACCCCACAGTTATATTTACTGTTAGGTCAAAAATTATTTAAACCGAGAAAAAAACAAGCAGAAAACAGATGTAGCAAACAAACCTCCAGGAAAACAGAGTAGTACTGCTTATCCTGAGAAGAGCCTCCTCTGTTGGCTGGATACTCCCAGTCAATATCAAGCCCATCAAACTCATACTTCCTCAGGAATGAAATGACTGAGTTGATGAAGGTCTGGCGGTTAGCAGGGCTCAACACCATTTGTGAAAAGCTAATGTGGGAACATAAAAAATGTATTAAAACAGAATATTTCACAGTTTGGGGAGCCAAGTCTGCAAATACCTGTAGATTATCTCACCCTGTAGAGCCAAAGTTCCATCCTCCGACAGACAGAAGAGTCTTCAGGTTGCCATTCCTGCCAAGGAATCAAACATTTTACACTGCAGTGACAAAATGAAACACTCATACTTACTGCTCACTGTGCTTTATTAGTGAAACTTTATTGTGCTTTATAGGAGTTATTTCCTTTTATACAAGAGAAACAAGAGATATATTTAGTGACTCACTTGTTCTTCAGGGCATTGAACTGACCGTAAAGCTCCACATCATTCCACTCATAGGTGGCCAGCTGGTTGTTCTTTATGGTGGCGAAGGCATACAGAAGATGGGTACAGAGGCATGGGTCGATGTCATTGGGCATAAAAATGGTTGGAGGTGGTCTGTACTGCGCCCAGTTTGTGAAGTAGCATGACAGTATGAAGGATGAGCCTTTGATTCAAAGAAAGACATGATCAAATGCAATTTCTGACCATAAAAAGAAAAATACACCTGCACAGTGAATCTTGTATAATTGCTTACCAAGCTGCGCATGCAGCAGCAGGGCCAGAGCTGTAAAATGAATCACATGGTTATCTTTGAGCAAAAAGAAAAGCTGATCAAAACTGTTTCCTGAAAATGGATGCTAGATACTGTATTTGGAAACATACATTACCAGGAGACCATCTGCTGCACATAGAAGAGAAACTGTTTCAAAAGAACTGACTTACCCGTCAAAAACAGTACTTTGCCCATGACTACCGGAGGACAAGGACGTCTTCTAACAGGTGCACTTACTTTTATACGCACAATTTGCTTATTCCTTAAAAAAAATGGGACACCTGCCAAAAAGGTGTTTATTTGCAAAAGATTGTTTCAGAGTAGATTATCAAATGTGCTACACTTAAGGAGTAATATGTGATTACTTATCACAATTCCAGGCATATTCTCCACAGGCCCACTTTCTCCTTGTGTGAAGGACTCATTTATCCAAACCAAGCATTAATGCAAAGCAAATACAATGCACGAAATATGCCTAAGGCTTGTTTTAAAAGTTACACAAAACACTGAAAGAACATTTGTCACAAATGTTTATATTTGGCCATTTATGCCTGAACTACCAAAATTGTAATAAAGTTTATATCAGAAAGAAAAATGGAAATGTTTAAATCCTATTTTCTAAAGTGATATTTATATACGCATGGAAAACAGCAAATTATTTGGGATTTGACTACAGTGCATGAATCTATAATATCTTATTAAATATGTCATGTCATGCAGTACATTTACAGCCTCTGTTCAGCAGCAAACCAACTAACATAAACATCAGGAAAAACTGCCTTGGAAAAAAATGTCTAGACTACAGATGTGTGATGATAAATATGTTTGACAACTCTAATCATGCTGAAAAGAGGATCGTGATATGTCATGAAGCGAGATCTGCATTGAAATCAAAAGCATTCACATGATAAGTAGGGAACTTATCTAATCATTTAGCTCCATTATAATGCAGCCTTTTTTTATCTTGAACAGTTTATGTAATATTTAAAGAAAGATATGCTTGTGTCAGCGGAAAACACTTTGAGTGAGCCAAAGCCTAGAAGCAGAGTAATGCCATTTGCTTATGCAAAACAAACTGCTTTTCATGCCGTGTCTCAAAAATTAAAGAAAGACGTCAAATAAATGTCGAGGGGACTGAAGGTGGGATTTCTCATTTACCCACTGATTCACTTAAAAGTGAACACAGTCCAATTTAGGTTTTTACCAAGGGCATGTAATCATCTCAGGAAAGTTAATTCAGTGTTTGAGAATTATTTCCCTGAAGTACAAATCAAGAACTAATCTGTCACTTACCATACATGTGCATTATACATCTGCTCAGTTAAAAAGAAAAGAATGCTATATGCTGACCTCATATGTTATGTTTGTTTCTGTGCCACAATTATCCAATAAAACTATCCTATGCAGTGGTTTAATAGGTTAAGTAAGCCATAGTTACAAAGGAGGGTTTTAAACAAAGATTTCTTGTTATGGGTGTTGTAACCTTTGTTCTGCTTATTTTCCAACAGTGCATGTGTCACCAACATAGTTCTGCTTTTTCCTACGTCATTCCAGTTTTCAGTTCTATGAGAATCTTTTCATTGTCAAGTATAGTGTAAAGTCTACTTTTTATTTAAAAAAAAAAACAGTAGTGATATAAAACAATGGTTTGAAAAGATATATAATACACAAAGAGAGTTAAAAATAAAACAAAACAAAACAAAACAAAACACAAGACTAACTTTTATAATGAAAAAGTAAACTTTTCACTCTTTGCATTGTAATAAAAAGTACATGTTTATTTAAATGGGAAATATGTTATAGTCTCACACCACAAGTCTCTGACACAATCAGCTCAGATTACCCAATTATGTCTTGCCTTGTGGTATCTGTGATTACTATAAATGGTTTTCCTGGCTACAATTGCTACACTTACATGTACATTATATATGGCAATTGGCAATGCCAATTCAATTTGGTAAGAAACCTTTTAAAATCTTTGTTTGTTATTCTTATATATACTATAGAAGAGCAATTTGTTAGCTATTACTGAGAAATAGTAATCAATGAAGTTCAAGATGACATTAAAAAAACAAAATACAACATCAACTGTGACATAATTAAACACATAAAGTCAACTCATGTCTGCAATGATGAACTGCACATCAGAAGGCAGTAAAGTCAAATGTTGTATACGTGATATGCACATTAAATATCGAAGTTTATGAAAAGAAACCTGAAAGCATAATCTTTCACGATAATGCATAGCATCAGTTACATCATTATTAAGCTATTAAAAATGTAAAGTGGCACAAAATGGCAAAGAATCCAATTAGATAAACGGAAGCCAGAGGATAAATGCAATGGATGTGAAGCAATGGGGCAAAAGATAATATTGTTTGTCCCACAGCAAATTATATCTACAAAATGCATTTTAAAAACATTTTACAAAGTGTGATTAGGCTGCACTATATGGAGTTGATGACCTGGGAAGAAAACAACACAGATAGATAAACATATATCATCTGACAGTGTGGTCTTTAGTGCCACCTGCTGTTTAAATAAATTAACTGGGCTTACGGTTGCCCCTCTCCAGTATCTTATACAGAGGGGCAAAATACACAGGAGAAACATTTAGAACTGTAGAATTCTCATTGCAAGTCAATGCAATAATGGCCACACAAACACAAACCTACGTAGCTGAACTTTTTTAATGATTTCACATAAAACCACCTGATTACGCAATACTGAAATAAATAACAGGAACCCTTTAAATTTAGCACATTTTGCTTCTGCTTTGCATTGTTTTCTCCATTCCCATCATGTCAAGGATATTGTTTGGCTTCTTGTATGGTAATGTCAGCTTTTTTAAATATTTGACCTGTGTAATGGCAGAGTAACTTGGAAAGAATGATTAACTTATATCATTTGAAATCCTTTTTGAATTTTGCAGCTCCAGCTCTCTGTCTCCTCTGGCTTACAAAGCATGCAGTGGACTCAGTTCAGCTGTCGGCTCCAGAGGTGGTAACAGCAGCCTACGGAGGATCTGTGACAGTCCCTTGTCAGTACGACCATCAGTACAGAGAAAACACAAAGTACTGGTGCAAAGGAAAGATATATAGCCTGTGTAGAATAGTGGTAAAAACACCCAAGAACAGGCCGAGTAACAGAAGCTTCATTGCAGATGATAAGGAGGCAGGCATCTTCACTGTAACTATGACTTCTCTCAGAGAAAGTGATGATGATATGTACTGGTGTGTCATTGCCAGAAGTGGAACGAACATCTACACCGGTGTCAGGCTCCGCGTCTCCCGCACAAGTATACTTCAGCTGGGTAAGCTCAGACACTTCAACATAATACAATGCTACTGCAGCTTCTTGCTTTAATAGTGCTCATTTATTACTGACCTAGAAAGACAAAAGCTCATACGACCGACTCTAACTTTCAAGCTAAAATCAACTAATTGGCTCCATATGATGGCAAATATTGCATAGGAGACAGGGTTGATCAGTCAGGATATGTCATTTGTTGATTTTTAATGCAAAGTGTTATTTTCCACAGTGATAACAACTACCACCACCACACCAACCAGTTCATCACTGATGGCACAAGAGGAAATAATGTGAGGATACGCTATGATTTCCATTTTATTGTTGAGTGACATTACAGTTAATATAACTGAAAATATGAAAACAATGTACAACAATCATTCTGATCACAGTTAATCTTTTTCTTTGTTTAGTTGGTGGACGGTTCTGCGTTGGATCCTGTTCATTTTAATGTTGTGTTGTTTGGTATTAACACATATTGTTGTGTGGAGGATAAAGACTGCAAGGAAAATATGGCCGCACCAACAATTTAAACGCCAAAGCTCAAACATTTATGACTGATTTTGGCAAAACCGTAATTTTGAATCATGGGTGAATTATAAACACGCTCACACTGGGGCTACAAAATTATTCCTGCACTGGACACTTTATCAGTGTGTGAATTAAACTGAAAAATAAACCAAGTGAAAAGTGGCTTTCAGACTCCCTTTTTTCTTAGTATTTAAATGATTAAAACCTCATTAATTTCAGTGCCAGGGCCTAAGATAACTTTGGGTCCAACTTTTGAATATCTAATCAGCTTAAAATTAACCCCTCTGGGGAACTGAGGCTGTTGGCTTTTATTTAATTCATTTGTAGATCTTATATGAGCAGTCATAGGGGACGGTCTTCCTTTTGCTATTAACCACCTGTTTAGAGGGGTTTTGAAAGATCAGTCAGTGTTGTAGGCTCACTCTGAAGATCTAAAAGCTATGCAGAATAAAAATCCCTCCAAATGTAAATCAAGGCCCAACTCTTTTAAAAGACAAAACATGGACAAATAACGAAGTTGAATAGTGGTGAAGGAATAATCACACTGGACGCAGACGTCCTCTCAGGTTTTAAAGCTAGTATGAAGTATGGTATCATATGAAACTAAGAGACCACTGTTCCCAACCATGTCAAGTTAGCTTGTCAAGAAGGGGGCTAAATAACGTTTCAAATTTACATCTGGCTCAATTTTGGCAATGGAAAAACAGATTTTCATTAAATTTCTCGACTTATCTTAAGATATCTGAATGTAAACAGACCATTTTAACAGCAGCTATTTTGACATAGAATAGTGAAGACAAGTGTTACCAATGTTACTAATTAAGCCTTCATTCCATTCAGTGTAGCAGAGCCTTTCCCGCGAGCCAACATGCAAAAAAGCAGCACCCTGACTCTTTTTGACCTGAATGGAACAGGACCTTAATTAGTTTAACATTGGTGACGCTTCTATTTCATGTCAACGTAGCTGTTGTGAAAAAGGTCTATTTGGTGCTATGGGAACCTACCAGTCTCCACTTTACAGACACACCCACTTTATGCCAGTCTCATGCAGTCTTGGGCTTGGGAACCAGAGGATGGCCGATGCAAGTCCAGCATGAACCACGATATGGAGTGTGGACTGGTAGCTGGATAGGTGCCAGTTCACCTCCTGGGCACTGCCGAGGTAACCTTGAGCAAGGTATTGTACCTCTAACTGCTCCCGTGGCGCTAATAGATGGGAGCCCATCACTTCACCATCTCTCCACATTTGCATGTTCATGTGTGTGTATGTGTATTGTATTGTATTCTACAGGTTTAATGTATTGGCCTCTGAAGAGCAGCACAGCTAGAACATTAATCACTTAATTTCTCTTGTCTATCTATCAAATGTACATCTGTCAGCCTTTTTTTGTTAACATACAGAATGGCCTTGTACCTGCTGCTGCGCTGTGTGAGAGCTGATTCAGGTGAGGGTGCAAGGTGGAGGGATTTAGGAGGTGATGTCACCACTTCTGCTGCAGGAACCTCTCCAGGAACTGGTGTCAAGACCAGCCACCAGTACCAGAGAAAAACATCCTTCAAAGTAAAAGCACAGATGGGTAACAAGTATGAATAAAATGCACAAAAACTAGAAAATACCTCAAACTAGCAACTGCAGATTAAATCTTGACATTTTTAACATATACTTTAGTGCCTGTCTCTTAAAATATGTGGCGTCAGATTTCGCAACGCACGCTAAATGTTTTACTTTGAAGGGGACGTCCGATATTACTCTATGTAGCTTGACAGTCGTGGTGGAAGTCTGGACTTTGAAGCTCCGCTCTGAATGTTGCTGCTCGCTGCTGCCAACGCCCGGCGAAAGAAACACACGGAGGGACATTGGTACGTAACTCAAACATTGTCTGACACCTCTGTGCGCTGTGTTAGATAGCAAATACAAGTCTGGACACTGGTCTCACGCTTCGCCGTGTTTGCTGCAACTCACTGCACAGAAACTAAAGCCGTCGTTAGTTTTACGAGCCTATATATTAGCCGGCCGGTGGCTAAGCTAAGCTATCTAGCGTTGTCTAGTGAGTGCTAGCACTGCGTTAGCGTAGCTTGCTCATAAACACACAAACACCTTTTTGTTTTCATTACCGTTTGCTTAAGTAGATCATGTCATATTGGGCGATTAACCCCTTTAGCTTAATTACACGTGTTATAGTTAGCCAGGTCGTTGAGCGAATAAGCAAAGTGAATAACGTTGTCGTTCGCTAATGTTAGCCTATTAGACAGTAGTGGTGATGGGGTGTGACACAAAACACAGCCTTTCCCCTTAGACCCCATGCTTAATCACAGCTGTTGTGAGCAGTAGAAGTGTTAATGTTCATGCAATCTCAAATATTAACTGTCCTAATTGTCGTCTCTCTCAGCAGCCAGCGGAATCAGAAAGCACAAAGATGCAGACTATCAAATGTGTGGTGGTGGGTGATGGAGCAGTGGGAAAAACCTGCCTATTGATCTCATACACCACCAACAAATTCCCCTCTGAATATGTACCAACAGTAAGTCACTCCGGTGGGGGTTTTTACAGTCAGATGCGTGCTGATAGACGGTCATACTTTGGTTAAGAAAGTAACGTACTCATGCCATGACCTCCACTTTGTTCTCTTCACGCAGGTTTTTGACAACTATGCAGTAACTGTAATGATTGGGGGTGAACCATACACCCTTGGCTTATTTGATACAGCGGGTAAGGTTATGTTTTACTCTTTCAATTCAATTGCACTCCGGATTGAATTAAGATCAGTTGTGAGTCTGTCACAGGGTTGAGCTAATTTGTACTGTGATCTCTCTTTAGGTCAGGAGGATTATGACCGGTTACGACCACTAAGCTACCCACAGACAGATGTCTTCTTAGTTTGTTTCTCAGTTGTTTCACCTTCCTCATTTGAGAATGTTAAAGAAAAGGTGAGTGCAAAGTGTTTATCTGAAAGCAGTGGAGTTGCTCACCTGCAAGCACCCTCTACTTCCGACTATATGAAATTAAACTGCCTTCATGGCATACTCCACCGTATTCTGCTCTGTATTACTCAGGGATTAGAGGATTATAAAATAGTATAGTAAGAAAAATAATAACAAAAGTGACAACCTACTCTTTAAAATAACATTAAACTTTGTAGATAGGTTGTTGTCAAACTACTGAAATAATGGTCCCTCTGATACATGTTTTTCAGGGTGTTGACTCTGAATGCAATATGTACTGTTCAGTATTTCTCCTCCTTGATACTTTTCTGTTTGAACGTGGAAGGCATTTTTAACAGGCAATCTCACAACCTACGTTCACAGATAATGGTCTAAATAAAAGTGTGAAGTCTTTTCAAAAAGCCACATAAACATGAAAACTAGAAACTGTAGCCTTGCCACACTGTTTAAAATATGTAAAACAAAACATGAGTGTTAGGTTTGTGAATATGATTCAGTCACGCGTGCTGATGTGGAACATTTCTGAAATATCTGGCTAACTGTGGATCCTGTTTTGTTTAATGGCCCTCTAATAATAGGAAGTCCTGCTCATGGTGGTTAGAAATGTGATCAAAATACAAATTATTTTGTTTATTTGTGACCAAATTACATACCATAACCAAAGAATAACAATAATAATTCATATAAATATGAAAGAGCAGACTTTCCTTAACAAGTCTGGCGCAAGGACAAAAAAAGGTTAATACTAAAGGAAAATACCTTCCTTCCTTTTATCCTCCATCAAAAACCTATAACATCCCTTCTCCTTATCCACCAATATCCCCTTAATCAACAACAGCAATCAATTTTTCATCATCATGAATTGACCATAAATTATAGATGAGTGTGCCTGTCTTTTGGTAATGAGTGTTTTGTCTTTGTGTATTTCTCCAGTGGGTTCCTGAAATAACTCACCACTGTCCCAAGACTCCATTCCTGTTGGTAGGCACTCAGATCGACCTGCGTGATGACCCCTCCACAGTGGAGAAGCTAGCTAAGAACAAACAGAAGCCCATCACCCCCGAGACAGCAGAAAAACTTGCTCGCGACCTTAAGGCAGTCAAATATGTTGAGTGCTCCGCCCTAACACAGGTAAGACTTCCCATTTAAAACTGGTGTGGCAAGCATGCTTAAATGTCTGTTTCCTAACATGGGTGGAAGTATTTTGCCTTATATTCTGCTGACAGCATTTAGCTTAAAACTCCATCTAACTCTGGGTTGTGTGCCTGTCTTTCTCCCTTCTTTTCCTCTTTCTGTAGCGGGGACTGAAGAACGTATTTGATGAGGCTATCTTAGCCGCTTTAGAGCCCCCTGAAACTCAAAGAAAGAGAAAATGCTGTTTGTTCTGATGTCTTCTTGCATCTTGCTTTGCCTCTCGATCGTCTGCTGCTTACTCATTGTAAAGAAATGTCTGTCACTAAAATAACCACAACGCTCTTTTAAACTTTAAAACTTTGTGCCCATTAACTTTTTTTCCTTCTGTTCATGTGTGCTTTCTTTTCAACTTGGCCTAATCACAATTATCCATGCTGCCTGATATGACAAGAGTGCCAATCTTTAATTCTTCCTTCCGCTGTCAGCAACTTGTGTGCAAGTCTGTGTAACTGTACATGACTGAGTTTGTTTTTGTTTTTTAAATTGACATTCTGTTATTATCTCAGTATTGAGCTCTTCAGCATCAGCTGTATCCTACAAAGAATATTTATGCTACATTCTGTCTTAGACAGTAATAACATTTTTTCTACTGCAGCATCAAAAATTTCCATGGGCTTTTTGTCTTTACTCAGACAAGTTGATCATGAGGAGAGTCTTGTATAATGTTATTTGAATAAAGGAACATTTTTGATCGCCCTGCTCCATTTCTACTCAGCCTGTTTTTTTTTGTTGCAATTAGTTCTCTGAAAATGTTAATTTGTATTTGGAACACAGACCTGTTTTGAATATTAATATTTTATTTCCACAGAAAGGATTAAAGAATGTGTTTGATGAGGCAATACTGGCTGCCCTGGAGCCTCCTGAACCTAAGAAAAGGCGTAAATGTGTTCTGCTCTAAGTTTCGTCGCAGCCTTCTCCACAACAGTTTCCATATCTAGGTTAACAGTACTGAAGAGGTTTGCTGCACAAGCACATTCCAACATAAGTTGAAGTATCATGAAATATTTGCCTTCTGACTGAGTTAACCTGAATACATATCCAATGTGTTGAACATGATTTTAAGATTGAGCGACATTTGATGCCGTTTGTGATGATGTGAACGCTCGACTAAATATTTCAGCAGACTGTAGGTGAAATTGTTGAATGACGTTGCAGTTTTTACCACATTATGTTTAGAGTTCATTGTGCAGAAGTGTTTCAGAATAACGGACTATGAAGTGATATGTTAATAGAACTGTTTAATCGACTGCCCTGTGAAACATCAACAAGCTGAAAATGATGAGTTAGTGAAATGCTCAAAATAGGTGTTATGTCTTAAATCTGTTTTTTTTTTTGTTTTGTTTTTTACTTTACATGCAATTATCTTAAGTTTATCATTTGTATCATCTATATGTTCAACCCTGGACACTGTGTCATTCTTCCATTACCGGTGGAGTATCTAGCAATATCAATCCTGCTTAAGTCTTAGAACTCATATTTTCTTTTCAAGACATACTTTTAAGAAAGAATACATTTCTCAAAGGGTTAATAAAAGTAGCTGTATTTTTTACATTTTTCATATTCAATGTTAATATTGCCTCCAGGCAGATCCAAGTAATATTTGATATAAAATGACATTTCTAGGCTATGATCCAACATAGTTCTAGTTTGCCAAAAGAAGACTTCAATAAATTGACACTTGTCAGAGTAGAGCTCTACCTCCTTTTGGAAGTCGCGTATCAGAAATAGTCATTGTCAATTTAAGTAACGACACATGAGGAGTTGGAGCACAAAAGTTTGCCAGTCATTAATTTTTGTTACAGAAGTGAGGTCACAAGAAGGTGACGAATGCATATCAAAAGTTGCAATGTTTAAACTTTGTAGGAGTGTTTCAGCTGATAACCCCAGGTTAATAAACTGAAGATACTTGCTGCTGCTACGCTGCAGCATCATGAAGTCATTGACGGTTCTTAGAATGCATTGTTTGAGACCCTGTGAATATTTCTGAGTGACTGAACTAGCACTATTTGCATTTGTCTTTTGCTATGTCCATGCCTGAATGATGGGCTTGAATTTATAATTACAGTGAAAAAAACTCATAACTTATTGACTGAATACAATGTGTGCATTACTGATACTGAGATGTAGAGAAGCCCAGATGACACTGAAATTAACCAGGAAAATGTTAAGAGAAAGTAAGTAAGAAAATTAGTTTCTTCTTTTATTCAATTTGACATCAAATTTGTACTGTATCTTGCATCACAATGTAACCAGTATTAATATGAATAAACCTAATTTCAAATACATGTTGTCTGACTTGATGGTTATGTAAATACAGGTTACAAACTTTCTAAAGATGATGTGGTGCGAGGAAATCCAAAATAAAACAGATTCTGCAACAAAAAACAGTTCTACAATTCTTTAGCGTCATAATTTACACATTACATAACAGTGCAAAGAATATTAAATTCAGGCTGGGTTGTCAAACAGCAATGCTGTAGTATTATAATAGCATTCATAGACAGATTCCCTTGTGAGCTGAGAGATCAACTTTTTGAATTTTCTTTTTCCAAGGCCATGTAGCATTCATTACGGTCTTATCATGGATGTCAGAACTGATTCCTTCATATAACTTACACATTATAATCACCCCACCTTAAAGAATACACAGAGAAGCCTACATACTGTATACATAATGTATATGGCATCTTTTTCAACCACTTTCCATTACAGTTGGTGTACGAAAACACAGCAGGTAATTTAATTCAAGCTTGACTGTACATTTTGATTAAAAATAAGGAACGTTTAATATTGAAGGTGAAATATATTATGGCTGTTCTCAAACTGAACTCTGTTCCCAGGGAACCATAATGGCTCCTTGGTAGTAAAATGAGCTCACTGCAAACGTACTGTATGCGTATGAGGATCCAAGAAAAAACATTTGTTTAACATGTAAAATGACTACAGATAGATAGACAGATAAGGCAAACAAGACTGTGCAATTTTGCAAGTTCTGGCAAAGGCAGGAAGCGGGCATTAGATGAATCCCAAAGAACTACGTGTCCATTGCTGGACATATCTCAACGCAGCTGTCGGTAACACGAATTCCATACCATCCTGCCCAGAACTGTGTGTCCTTGCCTCCGTGGGTAAAACGGATGTATCTCACTCCTTTTCCATAGTTCTTGAATACATAGGTCATCTGAAAAGTACACATCAGTAAGTCCACAGTTGTCCTTGTGCTTTGTACCTCCTCTGAACTTCATCGTATTAATGAATGCCTCTGTACATACCTGATTCCATTTCTGATCGCTCCACTGCTCAAAGTAAATAGTGTCAGGGGAAAACGTCTTGATGGGTCTCTTTCTTTGATTCAGCAGCTCTACATGGATCTCGTACTCACTGCCACAATCCCATCGTGGTGCATACCTAATGTAACAAAAGGCACAAGCACGAGCACATGGATCAGGTACCAGCAACTAGGTTTAAATTACAGTGGCAGAAGAAACACATTCCTATATGTTTTCATCCATGTGTTTTGGATATTTATTTATTTATTTATTTATTTATTTTTTTTAAATCGAGATTTAATTTGAATCTTACATTAATCCCCAGAGACAAACATATGTTCTGTGCTGTGCTATGGGAATAATAAATATGTTTATTTTTACTGTAAAATCACACAGTGTCTCAGTACACAGTATAAAAAACAAAAGCTAGAGCTGTAACTGAGGACAAACAGCGGCCTCCTTCATTTACAGTTAAATCAAAGTACTGTCTGTAATGGTAAATTAGCTAAGCCATTTTATTTAGCATGTGTTTCTTTATTTGGCCGCAGTATTACATTGTATTTATTGGGATTTACATGAGCTTTGTATTTTCATTTTTTTAAATTTTGATCAATCTTTCTGGAACCATTTTTGAAAGGTAGCCCCTCCGCTCATGTTTTGTTACACACACACAGACACACAAACACACACACACACACAGTACACAAATGAAGATTGGCGAGCTCTACATCAATTTCGGAAGAGTCGTGAGAGTATTTGTGTTCTTCTCACCAATCAGATATTCTGATGTCTGGCTGGAATTGATCCATAAACGATGGGTTGTAACCTTCCATCCCCAAATCAATCAGCTGCATCTTCTTGCACGTTCTGCAGAAAAACAGAAAGAGTTTTAGCAACTACATAATAGAAATGTAGTATATCTAATAGTTGCCATATGTTTCCCTGACCAATGATAGTTAGTACTCACTGGAAAGAGGTCACAAAGTTTTTCTTGACTGTCTCATTTGGATGTGGCGTCATAACGTCCTCTATTGTCCAGTTATCACCACCATTCTCCAATATGTGCCAGTTGTTCATTTCATCTATACAAAGAAGAGGGTTGATAGGGAAATGATGTGGTAATAATGACTGAATGAATAAAGTGTGAGTTACATTAACTCTGCGGCTTCTTACTTTCTGCTCTTGGATTCTTGAGCAGATTTCTTCTTTGCTTGCACAGGAAGTAAAACAACCTCCAGTCTTCAGGTATTTTGGAAGCGTCCCGGAGGCGATATCCTTCTCTTCTGCACCTCTCTTTCCAGAAAGATTCACTGTCGGCCACTTCTTTCCACTGACGGCACACCAACCGACAAACACAAACCACCAGATGGGGAGGAAGATTCAGGAAGATCTCCTCCACAATGTCCAGAGGGACAGGTAACAGCTGACAAGAACAGAGAGGACAGAGATAAGCTTAAAACTCTGGATAAGAAGTTTTCAGACAAACACTGACTTTGGACTAATGCACCCTGCTGTTTCCACAATCACACTATCTAAACTAACCTACATCAGGATTTTACACCAGGATTACACAAACAAAAAGGGATAGAATTAAAACATTAGCTCTTAATTTACTTTGCAGGATTTATGTTATTGTCTCCTTTCTAAAGGTGAAAGTAGGTCATTCATGCTTCAAACATGAAACATAAAGTCATAAAGTCAGATAAAGTTTATAACCAAACAGCCTGGCAATTAGTACATTTACAGACTGTGACATTTCAATTCAGTGGTTAGCAAACAGGCTCCCTGTGCATGTACAGAAACATGAAGACAGCATGCTCTGAAGTTAACACACATGAAATGGTGGTATGGTTGTAATCCAGTCACTTTTACTTTCTACTGCAGCCATGTGCAGCTCTGTCAGCAGTGTAAAACACTTACTTCTCCCTGTCCCGACGTTGAGGGGTCTGTCCCCGCACTGTCACTCCGTCTTGAGGTTGAATCTGAGCTCTGAGTTGTTCCCATAGCTTTAGCTTTCCTCGTCATGCCTCGGACAGACCCAGGATAGTGTTTTGTTGCAGTGCTTCTTCACAAGCACCTACAATCTCCTCTTGACCTTAGGGAAGAATAACACGCGTGTAACCGCTTAAATGTAGTTCACACACTCACACTCACACACACACACACACACACACACACGGTATGCACTTATTTATAACCGATAACCGATAACACACAACGCGGAAGTGTTTCTTCTAGGTGAAGTAAAAGTAGCCACAATACTAACGTTTCCTATCAACCTAAATGTAGCTAAATGACCACCGTCACTATCGGTTTTACTTCTTTATACGCCATTTGATGTATCATAACGTTACTTCCCACAAGACATTCCTAGCTAAGCGTCTCTCGCGGTGGCGCTCGTTATTCATCCCAGGATACTCGAGCTGGACATAAGAGACGCCGACGGAGTCAGTGGAGGAAATAACGCAGCACACTCAGTTGCCATAGTCGACAGCAGCGATTGACGAGCTCCCATTTAGCCAAGTGCCGAAGACTGTCAGTGTGCTGCTGACTCCGCCCGAGTGGGATTACGGTGTACGCCGGATATAAGCAATAGCCAACCCCTCAGATCCTTCCAGTCCTTAAAGAAAACTTCCGGTGTGTGTCCACCTTTACGGTAACAATCAGCTGGTGGCGGGAAATTTTGAGAATGTTGGTGTGTGTTGTTGTTGTTGTTGTTTCTCTCCCCCTCCTCACCCACACACCTACTCAGGACTTAGCCATCTTATATTTATCTTTGTTAATATCTTTATATTGCGTTATTTTTTATCTGTCTTTTATACAAAAGATATATTTATCGCATTTTTCTTATTTGTATTATATACAAAAGTTATTTTACATAGGCAACTAAAATTGTGCAATATATATTATCTACGGGGTTTTTTTATATAAAAGTTTTATATCTGCATATATATTTTTTTGACTGTACATACTGCCTCTCCTCTATTCCTGTTGTGCTATGTGCCATTGCAACATTTTATTTTGAGGCAAATCCAAATGACAAATAAAGTCTGTCTAAGTCTGAGTCTAAGTCTAAGATGTACCCGTTGAAATAAAATAGTATAGATTTAAAATACATATACTATCTTTATTATACTCATATATATATAGTTTTTATAGTTACTACTACTACTTATAGAAATACACAGACTTACCATATTCTACTGTATCGCATATAGTGTATATATCTTTATTTTAAGATAAGATTCTTGATTCCCCATAAGAGAAATTTAAGTTAGCACAGGGGAAATGTAGTACAAACAGCGAATATAATAAAATACAAATACAAATATATACACTATATAATAAAGTTGAATATGGTCCATATGGATAACTGGAATTGATAACTGTTACAGGGTATTGTGCTGTATTGTATAATGTATTATGTTTTATTCTCTTTCTTCACTCTTGGCACTACTTTCCCTGCACTGCTGTGCAAATTTGAATTTCCCCTACGGGAGATCCATGAAGGAGCATCTTATCTTTTTTTTTTTTTTGAGTATGACATGAACTTATTTGGGAATGCAAGGATGGTGTGAATCATCTGAAAATGTAGTGGTACAGGAAATGTCTGAAACTTGACATTTTAAACAGCGTATCACAAATTTAGTTTTTGTATATTTGAGTAAATACATCTAAGGAGTTCAAGCACACAGTTGTGACAGACATGAGTTGACAAGTAAAAGATAATGAATGCCAGCCAGCACGGTTTGTATTAACTGCTGTGTGTGTGCTGTAAGCGCTTTACTTCAACTTGTTTTTGGACTTTTGAATACAATAATTTGTACTATTTGGATTTCGGACTGGTTGGGTGTGAATGTGATTTGTAAATATAAATGAAAAAAAAAACATCTCATTAAAATGTATACATTATCGATACTGAGATGTAAAGAAGCTGAGGGAAAGCTGAAATAAAATGAGTTTGGAAGTCTTTGATTTTTATTTATTCTGACATTAAAGTTATACTGTCATATACACCATTCTTTATGATATGCCAGCCATTCATGTCTTCTATAAAAAACAAAAGAAAAGGGTGAGAGAAATCATATTGTAGCGCACTTCAGGAAACTAACTTAATGCCACCAAATGTTGAGTAAAATTATCTCTGTGGCTTCTTACCTTCTGCTCTTGGATTCTTGAGAAGATTTCTTCTCTTCTTGCACAAGAAGTAAAACAACCTCCAGCCTTCAGGTATTTTTGAAGCATCACTGAGGCGATATCCTTCTCTTCTGCACCTCTCTTTCCAGAAAGATTCACTGTCGGCCACTTCTTTCCATTGATGGCACACTAACCGACAAACACAAACCACCAGATGGGGAGGAAGATTCAGGAAGATCTCCTCCACGATGTCCAGAGGGACAGACAACACCTGACAAGAACAGAGAGGACAGAGATGAGCTCAAAACTCTGGATAAGAAGTTCAGTTTTGAAATCCAATCCACATACAAAATACTGTTAATGATTTCAGCTCAAAAGTTGTTGCTTGTATTGTGCATAACAGCGCACTCTGCTGGATAAACGCAGCAGTGACACCAATATGCATAATGTACCAGATAACTGTTTTCATATTGACACGTATGGAATAACGCCTATATACCGATAAGTCTGGCCAATATCGGCCGAACTATTATATCTAGTCGAAAGTTAAGTAAACTTAACGACACAAGAGTCCAATTGAAACCATGTAAAACACTTACATCTTCCTGTGAATCCGAGGTTGACGGGAATGTCAGACCGCGTCTTTTGGAGGAATCAGTGCTGTGAGTTGTACTCATAGCTTCAGCGTTCCTCTTCATGTCAGGGACATACGCCGGCTAACAGACGCCTTTATGAGCTCTTTATGAAGTCAAACATATTATTAACGTGGGTAATAACGTACACAACCACAACAACAACAACAACAACTACGACACGGAAGTGCGGTTCGGAGTTACTTTAGAGGCACGCGAGGAATGTTACATTAGAAAGTTATCTTCCATGAACAAACCGAGAGTTACTATCGCTTTCGGTGACAAATTCCCCTTCCTGTTGCCAAGTCAGTCCACCCACTGTCGGGTTGTTACTCACAAAATGTAATGGATTACTTTTTTACTCCCTGCCAAAAGTGTTTAATTACACTAATAGTTTTATTAGTTGCCCCCATAAAATGGATAATCGTGTCATTTCTACCCCAAATTCAGACTTATGTTAGTTAAAATCAAAGTAATGGGAATATTTCCAACCACTGAATATGAGCATTTCCATCTTTCCGAAACGTAGTTCTCCACGATTACAGCAAATTAATCTCCAAGGATGAGGAGTTGGGCGTGTTTTATTTTATATTTTGGTAGGGGCGGGGTACAAAATAATATGCTAACTAATTATGGGGGGGGGGGGGGGGGCGGGACTAAAATTATTAGTGGAATTTAAGAAGCGTTGGCGGACCATGCATTTACTTTGTGACATGTCAGCAGATGAAAGAGGTGGAGAGGGGTACAACGAGTAGAAGTATAAAACAATAATAAGTAAAGTACAAGTCCCTCAAAATTGTACAGAGGTGTACTTGAGTACTTGGTTACATTCCACCACTGTGTACACACCGCCATCTTGGCAATGAGTGTCTCCAGCCTTCAGTGTAGCAGGTCTCTGATCAATACAGTCTCCACACAAGACAGATTCATTCCTTTGATTATCTGGTTTTGGTGGTTGACTCCAGTTGTCCGGGGGAACGAAATGTGTGGCCTTCTGACAAAGGTTGCAATTGACTCACTTGTAAATAATGTGTCTTACCAATCAGCTGACTCAACATGGATGACCAAGTCGAAGTCATGCACCACACATCACACACACAGTTACTGTAGATGTCTCTATCTACATGGAAGGAGCTTAACACAAAATGATGCTTGTGATAGCAGTTTCCATGTTCAGAGGGTGATGTGCCTTTAATCAGCACAACTTAACTGACAATTGGTGCGATGGCGTAGTGAGTTTGGCACTGAAGTGAGATAAAAACAGCGCTACCTCAGTTGAAAGACTGCAAGAAAGGACCAAATTACTCCAGCACTCCAGGTAGTTTGTGTCATCCCCATGAATAGGAATATGGGTACTAGGTAGAAAACAAATTAGGCAACACTATCCCACATGTATACAATTAGCCAGTGTGATTAAACCATATTAAAAACCCAACAAGCCAAAATACATACTCACATATACAGCTGGTATTTAAAACCAAATTTCCTCCTTGAGTAGTTACAGTATAAGGGGACATAGTAAACAGTGGAGCACAGTCATTTCTTCCATCTACTGTTAGTCATTACTGTGACAAATGTCGTCTCAAGCCTTCTGGTAAAGCAAATGTATTGTTCCCCTGATGCATAGCTTCTTAAAACACGTAAGACTTTTGAATTCTATTGAGCATCTAGTTTGATTAATCATCGGGTACAATCAATCATCAAACCATATCATTCAGCTATCCTGAAACCCCCCCTCATAAATACATATTGGTAAGTGATTGTCAAACTCAATTTGAAGATGGGTTAATATGCCATTTTGGGTTTCAGGAAGCATTACGTCTGCCCTCTTTGTTTCTTGAAAAAGCTGGGTTGCATTTTTCACAGGGAGTAAAACAATCTTTGGTCTTGCGGTGCTTTCAGTTAATCCACTCCTTTCTATTTATAGCACACTAACTGGCAAACAACTGAAGGGAGGGAAGCTTCATGAACATCTCACCCAGATCAAGAAAAAGGATCATGGGGAGAAGAGCTGCAGTATAACAGACTAAACACAGCTTGTCTGACAGTGTTAAAGGTGCATGCAGTCATCAACTGAAGACATGCAAAATGGATTTAAAATACAGTGATAAACTCTCTTTCTAAACTCTATCCAATCACAACACTTCCCATATGCACTTTCCCCATGATGAACTTAATTTGAAGCTGTGCAGTGTCACCGTTGTCACTAATGGATATTCCCTTATTTCCCTTTTATGAGCTCTTTGTGCATCAGCAGCTGTTTTCTAGTTTGATTTCACACATTTCAGTAGTATCAAAAACATTTCATCAGGCAATACAAAAAAATACACAACCTTTTTTTTTTTTTTAAAGTACCAAAATTGTTAGCAACATGAGAGAGACTGCTTTTAATAATATGGCAAATAAACAGAGGTGCATTCATGTCTTCAATCATAGGCACTGCAGTTTGTGTACAATACAGTACATAGAACTCGATCATAAATTACAAGCCATACCAAAAATAAATGGATTCCAAGGAGGTTAGAAGACCTGGGAAAAACAATGGTAGCCATTGATTTTGGTGTCACATTAGAATTTCAAGCAGGCCACAACCCTGTCCATGGATACTGAATTATCATCAATCCAGTCTGTGATGCTTTTATTCCGCTCTGCATATTTAAATGAATATAAAGACAAAAGGGTAAATGCACGATTTCTGAGTAACAAGGACTTCAATCCATGTCTCTAAAAACAGGTTTATCCATCTTCTGTCAAACAGCTGAGAGATGAGTCTTTTTGGTCAGCGGAGGAGCTCCTATGTGTCTGCGTCAATCCTGTGAGCTGTAC